TTGAAGTTTTGATCGAGTACGACTCATTGGGACCGCCGCCAAATCAAGTGCGTTCGGACTAGGACATTCAAACTCGCAGTTATCGTTCAAAAGATAATGATGGTGTGAAATTCGTCTGGGTTTTTAAAGAAAATGCTTTGTCACAAAATAATAGTCTGTTAAAGGTGCCAAGTATGAAATAATTTAAGGACAAAAAAACAAACCTGCATAGAAATCGGAATAATAGCTCTTTTGATTATCGGAGACGCATTTCAATGGGCTTGATTACGGACAATGCATGACGTAAATTTCACCAGGAAATTCCGCAGTGTGCTCTCGCAATCGCGTACTTAGTCATTTTTACAAGGTTCGCCATTTTTGATGTCACGTGATAATTATGTAAACAATGACTGTCCAGTTTGTGCGAACTTGTACCTCTATACTTAGTCTTTTGATATATATAACCTAAATTACTGTTCTCAACGAGACAACAGACAGAGAATGTTTTATTTAAAAACGTCACAAAACCCTTCTCGCTACCTTAATGCTTTCAAATGCATTCTTTTAAGTTTGATTTGAAATAACACAAAACATCCTGGCAAACGAAAACATTTCCTCTATCTACCATGTGTGGCTCACTTTATTAGCACATTAAAGCACACAAAAAATGTGTGAAGCACAAGTTTCAAAAGATGAAAATCAAAACCAATTTTTCTTCGATTTAAGTTGGTATGAGGTTGAAAATTGTAAAATTTCATTGAAATCCAATTAACAGTTATTGAAATATGGATGGAAACACACACATATTGTATTTGCTTAATGTACTTCTATAAATTGCTTGTAGAATTCCAGCAGAACAGACATTTTGACTCACAAACTATTAGAGATGCACTTTTAATACACCAAATATGGTACACACACATACATACCGTACATACCGTACATACATAAATACATACATGCATGCATAAACAGACTGAACTCAATACACAACACATTCAATTAACATGAATTACAATTTAGACTGAAACAAAAAAAAAACAAATTGATGAGCACATGTTAGCTATTACAGATGGCCTTTGTGCCAACTTTGAACAAAACTGATCTTGATATGTCTACATTGCACAAGCGCAGATGTGAACAGTAATCAAATTAACACTCCCAATATTTAAAATACAAAAGAGACTGAACAAGCGGACTATTATATTTACTCCGGTAGAAGCGTATCTCAAACAGAAGAGCACATACATCAAAATATGTGTTTCTTATATTGGATCATATTACTTAATTTTACCATAAACATACTGCTGTTATTTACGCAAGTACATTATCTGCTGATAGAGCAAATATGGTATTGCAAGGGTGATCAGAGAAGTAAGTTTCTTTTTTAGAAGGGTGAAACTACATGGAGAAAATTACAACCATATGTTTGGTGTATGGCATTTGTATATAGATAATAACATTGCAGTGTCTGGATTGTTAATCAAAGCTGCAAGTGCAGGAGTATAGACTTACATAGATATAACTGAATGACTCATCATGGACAGTACTGGTGGCTGACACCAGATAAGCTTGTCTAATTCCAGTGTAGATCTCGGGTGATTAACAGGCTTTACAAGAATAGACACTGTGACAACCTGTTGGTTTGAACAACAGTTCCCAATCCCTACTTTGTTTATAAGTCTCATTCACTGTTTGATAACATCAATACTAATTTTTCACAATAATAATTTCATACATATTTACATACAATTTCTCATTAAGTTTTATTACATTCAACAAACAATATGGTGATTACTTCTCAATTGGTTATAAAAAATGTGAGAGCGTAATTGATACAACACGATATGATCTTTATTTCACCTACTACTCAGGTCATTTTAATAGAACTATGAATCACCTTACCCTGCTATAATGGCGTCTTGATAAGACTGCGCCGATGTCAATATTCCTCCTCTGACATACTCCAGGGTACTCATGCATCCAATACGACCCTTTGAAAATAATACCATAAATATAGTTCATCTGTGTTTTTAGAAGCCATGTGTGGAGCAGCAATTGTGATCACTCTTTTCAAAACAACAGACATAACTTTTGGGGTCCATTTATTTTTTTCTTACTATTGTTTTGTGTTCTTGAAATTTACATTTCACTCCACCAATTATGACAATTTGTTGCGCCATTAAGACGGCTATTTCTATAGAAAAAGTAAATAGTTTCCATGACCCTTGACCTCAACCTAAGCAAGTAAGTGTCACTTCCACTTTGGAAGTATAATATCTCTTTCAAAGCGAAGTAGTGGTCAACACCTAAATGTACGAGGAAATTGAGTCCCAAGCAGTGATAACAATGCACACTGAAAATGCAAAGGCTCATGGGTAGATGCTTGTTTGTAAACAATGACATGCTATGGACATTTGCTTCATGGGCAGGTGATGTCTCCTCACTTCAAATAACATTAAATGTTTTCTTGTTTCTGAAAATGTAATTGTTCTGGAATTGTTCCATCATATGCTCAGTGATGCATTAGGGAAAAAATCACATGTTTCCAGGAACCAAGTAACAGAATCTTGGATAGCCAGACAGGATTTTGATTTTATATTTTTTTTCAATGGACTACCTTCTAATACTGTGTAATAGGTTATTTCTCTCACAATCATGCATTTAATACAGACTTGAAATTAAGAGAGAATGACCCTCAATTAATTATTCATTAAAATAGTAATTTCCTTACAGTCATATTCTTGACACATTTAAATAAAGAAAGTAAATAAAAAAATCATTTCTATGGAGAAAACATGGCTAATTTGCGTAAAAATGAAAAAAAAAAGATCAATTATAGCTTACAAATATGTTTGGTTTCCCCAAAAAGGGGTAGGTAGGGTGTAGGGTCATTGCAAACACAATAATTTTTTTTCCTTGGCATTATGGTTAATCAGCAAATGCTGAAGGACATGTTTTTGGCCTTTCTAAAAATAAACAATGATGTCATCAAGCAAGACGCACCTACTGTTGCGCACCTACTGTTGCGGTCAAACTGAAGAAAGTAATTATAATTAATTTAATTACTAGCAGAGCAGGCGATAACAATAGTGACAACACACCTACTATTCATAATGTAATAGGTCTAACACTTGATACCTCACTTACTGTGATTTCAATAAATTGAAACACTAGTCTACTGTGAAACTAACTACCGGTATGTAAATTACTGTCTGAAATCATGTGACCATGAAAGGATTTCATGACTGCCGCATGACAGGACAGAATACCTAATCAATACAAATGTCACTTGAAGGTTATCTCTACTTACCTTCCAATTTGATCTAAGACTCTTATCTTCGGTGATGCATTCTCGGACAGCCTCTTTCCAAGATGACTTTTCCCCAGCATGAATATTCATGAGATACCCCAAACGATGACAGATCCTACACCACAGTATGTCATCATCAGCCAAACTTCTCCAGCTGACACTAACCTTTTAAAAACAAAAAAAAACATATTAGTAACACATGCGTTTACATGGATTTTTGAAGGTGAGCTTTTAATAGAGCAAATACGGTAATCTCAAATATAGAATATGGTTTGAACAATTTCCACTGGCAGTTCACATATAAAATAGAGCAATTCAATGTCCGGTCATTTGGCACAAAACAAAGTATTTTTATTTTATTTCGAAATGGATAATTTTTTGTGAATCTGAAAAAATTATTTTGTAAATCTGGAAAATTATGCAATCTGATTAAAATAAGATCCTGGTTGGCTTATTTTTTTTTTTTTATAATTACTATAATTATTATTATTTATTTTAATTATCTTTTGACGTTACAATTATTTTGCTGTAAGAATGGTTTTGTTCGTGAAAGCCACAGGGAAGATTAAGCCAACCAGGACCTTATTTTAATCAGAAGAAAATTTCAAGCAATTAGTGGAAATCTATAAAACAAGAACTGGAATCATGCGCGCACACACATACAGGAATGAATAAATTCAGTTAAATTCAATTCAATTCAAGTAGAATTTAATTCAACTCAATTTAATTACAATTTAATTAAACCAATTTAAAATCTTATATAAGAATACAATTGAATTACAGTTTAATATAACCTATTTTGGTATTAGGATTATCATGAAGGGTTAGGTAGGCATATTGTATATCAGCCTAAACCAGGTTCAAAATTCCACTTTCTGCTTTATATACAGACAACCTCATTCAGAGGAAAATTGATCTATCACATCAACAAATAATATCACATTGGGTGTTCCACATTTAAAATGAACAGTTAAACAGGTGTGACTCGCCTGTCAAGTTTGACTAATATTGGTCCATTATTGCCATGGCAACAGCCAGAAAACAGATTTTTTGAATTCATGCACACCAAATGAATCTCCTCTTAGAAATCTGGGAGTAAAAACCTTGGACGTGTCTCATTCTATTCAGCTTGAGTGTGGGCTCAAAATTACATGTTGTTTTATTTAAATTTTAGTTTTTTCTGAGAAAGTTGACCTTGAAGTTGGGTAACTTTTGGCCAGTAACAGCTTTTAACTTTTCTGTGATTTCTTGGGGGGGGGGGGGGGGCTATAGGCCAATATTGATCGAACGTGACAGGCAGGTCATACCTAGTTAGGTGGGAAAATTAAGTATAGTGAAGACATTAACAGATGATTTATCGCTTGACTTGAAAGAAGTATTTTACTAACCTGTGCACAACTCAATAGATCTGACATCTCAAAATGTTCAAATATTTTCATTGCTAATTCTCGAGGTAATGCAATATCAAAGAAAGGAATTTCATTGATTTCATTCTGTGAACAAAAATAAAATATTCATTATTACTTTCAAAATTGATAAAAATTGCAGATATTGCAGAATGTGTGAATGATTTGATTTTTCATTTGTGTTTGGTTTTTGTTATACTTCCAGAGAGAAATATGCTGTTGAGATACAATGCATCCTTACTTCATCAAAAATCACCATTACCTATAAAGTACACAGCACATAATTTAATGTGGAAGCACCTAAAAAATATCATGCAAAGTTTTGACGTATCTATGACACTTTGACGAGTTTTTTTTTACATTTGATTTCAAGCATAGCGCAGTAAACGGAAAAACTAATGATACTGAATTTTCTCAGCTATATGATTTTACAATTATTTCAAATAACCCATAGATGTGGTTTAAGATTTCATTATGATAGTTTATAATTGTCTGAGCAATCACAACAATGATTGATTGGATATAATACGAGAATGTGCTTTTTCGCTCAAATTTGTATTTAAAAAAAAAAATAACTGAAACTACATCCATGGTCAAAATTTTTCAAATTCATCACATAGCATCACTTTAGTCGTCATGGTTTTACTTGATTTTTTGTCATGTTCTAAATTTTCCTTTCATATGATAATAAACATTATTATACATCGAGCACTAAAACCAACAGAATGTAGAAAGCTGTATGTGCATTTGTTATCAAAACATATCTGCACTCATTCCAATTTGTTAATTGATAAACTACACTGCGTACAATAAATGCGCTCCAAAGTATTGATGTCACGTTCAAAAACTTTTTGTTTACATACTACAAAGAAGCGCTATAGTGCATGATGGGAAAAGAATCTTATCACTGCGCTCAAAAGTTCGCACAGCGCAAAACACTTTATAGGTGTAAATTTTTTTTTAAATGATTACTACAAGGAGAAAAAAGGTGAATAACAATACGAATCATGCGAATACTGCAAGGTATTCACTCAAACAGTACGAGATTACATTGACCTCTGCTATACGTTGGTCAATGTGATTGCTGAACTGCATTATTGTAGTTATGTTAGACATGACTAAAGTGATTGGACAATGTAACACCAATAAACATTTTGAACATGAAGGAGCTCTCATGGTCTATTCTATCTTCAGTACTAAGCAGCTATAAGCAATAACCACAGTCCCTTTGTGCATTAGCCAATCACATGGTACAAACAAAATAACGAACGCTTTTTGAAACACTGCAGCTGCATAGTAATGCAGCAATTGCTGGAAATGTTGTTATATTAGCATGGAGGAACATACTAAACAAGACAAATAACAACACTATTCCCAGACAGAAGGAACCGTTTTAGTTCGAAATATTTCTAAATTAATAATAGTAAACACAAGATGTACGTCTTGTAGAATATTTAATTACCAAGTCTGCAATTAAAGTGTCCAGCAAATTTGCATTTGTCCTTCCTTTAGCTTCCAATGTTCTCGTTTTCTTCGTTTCTTTGTCGATTTTACCATCTTTATTTGTATGTTCGTCTGATTCTGAGAGTTTTCTTTTCACATATGTACCTTTAAGCAAATCATTTGCAATACTGACTGCCTCGCCAACAACAGGGTCAGTCTTTGGGTAGTAAGGCAGACAATCGTCCAAATCACCTTCTTCAGCCATGTAATAATTTGATGTCCTTTTAGCGAAACCGATTTTGCGTTTCTTCGTTACATCGTCTCCGTCATCAACGTCGGCATGGCGTAAAACAGATTCAGCATCATCAAGATCCTCTTCGTTGCGTGCCATTTGCTCGTCCCGACATACCAACTCATTTCTCCAACGTTCTCGGAAATTTTCAAGTTCATTTACGTTTTCCATAGTAGAAACGTTCTTTCGTTTTCACTGTGTCTAAACAGATGACGCGAGAACTTTATCGGATCATAGTTCAAATTATTCCCGGGAAGACTATTTCCAGCAAAACACATCCATCAGTACAGCGCCATCTTGAATGACAAAGCTACGCATGTCTGACCTTCAGTTGACCTCTATACCCCAAGAAAGAGGTCATTCGTATTTGTTGTGGTTTGGCGTCACGAACACGCCCATTTATAACACGCTACGAATTAAGGTCATTGACCCTGTAAATGTCAGGTTACTTTCAAAGTGAAAAAAACACTTTCTTTTGATCATACATCGCTCAACGACCTAAGCTGTTGGAAATAACAAATAATTCAAAACTTGGTACACCCGTCGGTAGATGTTTATTTACCATAGGGAACGCATACCTGACTGGCGCCAAAAAAGCTGGAGCGTCCAGAATATCTGGGAGTTCCCCGAGTTCATCATTGTCTTAGCATAAATTGTATAACATTGTGTGCATTTTATATTTGCGTAAGCGCCAGCGTGCTTCCAAAGAACACCATTTTAGAGCCATAAACTTGGCCCGAAGCCAATTTAACCCTTGAAATAGTAGTCTGAAAGATGAGTTTTGTAAACAACCCTCTAAGAACAGTAGAACTGCGCGACGTGGTGTACAACCTCTGAGTACAACAGTCCTGTTCAAAACGCAAAAGTTGTGATTTTTTCAAGCTTGGAGTTCCTGTGTGAAGTCGTTTGTTTAATGTAAGTAAAGCCTGCCACTTGACGCTAGCCGGACATGTTTGTAATGTTTCTACGTCACGCTATCTAGATATTCAAACTATTTTTTTTTCTCGATTCAGTTTTTTAGTTTTGATTGCCCGGCATATTCAGCACATCAATAGGGCAATCGCTCTACGATTCTATTTGAAACTAACACGCAATATACTGTTGGCTGTTATGAGCCGTAAATCGGGTTATTTTTAGGGTGCTCAGACCTGAGCGGATTCGATTTGACCCGGGATTTCCACATATTCGTGGCTATCGTTTATTTACACTGGTTTCAAGTTATGATAGCAATTGCGATATACTAGTACTCTCGACAGTGATGGTATCCATAAGTCACCATAGCATTGGCAACAGGCCAATTTCTTAGTGTTTATTTTCAAAGGAGCAGCATTGCACCATACACGCACTTTCCCGGCATCGGTCTTCGAACCGTATTGCCGCCAGCCTAGTCAGCGTGGCCCGAGCACGCGTGCCGACCTGGCCTGAGGCGGCGAGTACGTGTGCTCGAAGGTCGCTATTTTAATTGATTGTTACACATTAAATGCCTATTCTCCACATTCTCGCATTGCGTGACTAACATTCATATATATTGGAGGGCAATGACCGTAACTAAGGAATAAAATATGAAATGTGTTTATTCATACAATTTCTTAAAGCTCTGGGTGTCGGCAGCCTGAGAACTGTACTTCACGTTTCAGGCCGGGGTTTCGGGTCGTTGCACTCAGGCTGTGCCCGGACGTCGAATCACGTGTGCTTCGAGAGACTTGAGCGATGATCATCTGATCTGGTCGCTGGTACCTTGACTTTCAATTTCTTTCGCATTAAGCGAGTGTTCGATCTGATCGCTGTTGGCTGTATGTGGCACAAAACTGTCGCAAGTGTATCAAGCGGGCGTACGCCCGGTTTCGACGATCTTAGGTTTTAAAATGACCCTCATTATGTTTGGACCCATATTTAGGTTTAATCAATATGGATGTTACATCTCAAAGTACCATTACCTTTGAGACTATTCCTTCCACCTTTGAATAGCGGCTTATCGCCAGTAAATTTACAAATAACTTCAATTAAACATATACGAGTACGTTAATTGAATTGCACCATATTTGTACCTGTGGTGTTAAAGGTAGTTTGTCTTTAGTGGCCGCCCTGCAGAAGATTTCTCCCGTTGACCAGGGTCCATGTTGTGATTGAACCTCATCGGTTGCCCCACCTGTATGATGACGTAATCTTGTCGGCACATTCTATGATGTTCTTCAGTGCCGGCCGAATGGGGAATACCCAATGACTTACATGTCCTATTCACAATTCGTTGTGAGTATATCTTTCATCAGTTTCGTATTGGTCACTTCCCACAATAGTATTCCAAATTAATGTTAAAAAAAAAACACAAAATCAAATTAGTTTCACAGATGATGGAATCTGACCTTTTTGCCTATAGATGAAAAAAAATTCCAAAATTGTTCGCGAATGTGACGATGACTGTTCTTATTTTAATTAAAGTCTTCCTGTTTTCACTTTAAAATTACTACTGGTATTAAAAAAGTGAATTACAGTTAGGAGTATTGGTAATTCCAGATGTATTTAGTAAAGGTGAGTGAAGATCATCGAGACGTATCCAGGACGGTTCGTATCAATGTTTGTGGGTGGTTGGCTTCAAAGAATGGTTACTCTGTCTAGCGGCACGCTCCCGAAAGTCGTGAGTTTAACAAATACAATTGTTGCTGACATTGCAAGTACGTACAAAAAATGAAACAATTGGCATTTGACAGACCATATAATGCTGTGTAAATACGGTTTTGTATTATTTGTGACAATTCGAAATATTGGAAAGGGTGTCTGACAAAAATTGTTAGTAGTGTGATTGACAGTTACGTGCAAATTGCTTTCTGAAATAGCCTGAGTTAAACCTAAAACTATTGTTGTATGTATGCTTGTCACGGTATATCCTTTTCAAATTTGATGTATCCAGCGTGCTGAAACAAGTACTGTTGTTTATAACAAACAACTGTATCCGCTTAGGTTAACAGTGACGACCGTTGCTCGGTGTGAAGTCAGCTACTGGTTCACGATTAACTATAGAAAAAACGCCTTTCACAATTTGTTTCAATTCATCATCAAAACAAGTCACGATCTTATTGTCTTGACCCTCGACACGCGACGCCCTGTCGCTAGAGTGCGCCACACGTGCTTGACACGAACACATATTTCCGACGGCATGTCAGGTTTGCCGGTGTGAAATCTAACTTGTTTTAAACTAGTTGTGTCAAACAGTCTTGCTATAATCACCAGTCAAGAGAACAGTCTCCGACCGGCCGATCGCTGATCATCGATTAACATATGATGTTGCAGACAGACAGCATCGTCTGTTGATAATTTCTTGCAAATAGTGGCGTCACTAGACTCTTATCGACCCAGCAGAATAATTATTCAACGGTCTTGACACGATTGATTAAATCCGAATTAATTCCCCATCAATTTCCTTGACCTTTCCCTGGGCAGTTTGAGTTGGGCAGAAATGGTCGAAAAGTGTAATTTTAAACTACCCTTCAATTACGATGTAAAATAGTGAATGCATTTTTAAAACCAGCGAATTAATTCTTCTGAGACATCTTTAACGACCGACCAGGGCGCGTGTCAGAAGTCCCCGGACACCTACTTTAGGGTGCTTTATCTCACAATGGCGCGTTTCATATACTATATGCGTTTTTTTTGGCAAGCGGCCACCGCAGTTCGTACCCCACTGGTTCGGCCTCGCTCTGCATTCTCTTACAGCGAGTTGTAATTCAAAACTTACGTCACTGGGAAGTTGAATTTTGTGACATGCTTAAAGTAGATTTCGAAAATCTGTCGTGTTGCCAATAAATTGTCATTTCTTGGTGACTATGACACTATTTACCGTGTCGAATTAGACATGACGTTTCAAAAGATTCAGAATCTGTTTTTAATAGAATCTGTTTTAAGGTGGGCAGACAATCTGGCAAGGGGCTATTTATACTGAGACGATAGCGTTTTGTGTTTGTTATATTTAGATAACACGCTGATAAATGTTCACATGCTCTAATTTTACCCGTTATGTGTTACCCCCTTGTTGGTGGATGAACTTGTTTACTAACAAACGCGACTTTTTGCAAGGCCACTTGTGGAATTACAAGCCGGCAAAATGATTGACACGCGGGGCACACGCTCTGGGCGTGGTGCCAACTTTGGTATCCAATCAGACTGTAGCTTGAGTCATGGCTATTTATACTTAAACACAGAATAAAACCTGGGGGCAGTCAGTATGCCATACTATATGTACGATGTCAACAAACGCACTACAATAGTGGTACATAATACAATGGGCGGCAGAAAAAATACTTGCACAGAACTACACCGACAACTCCGGGACTGATTGTACTAAGATTGTTTTATTGCATTCGCGAATGCAATACTTATACGACGAATAGGCCAACCACCATCCTGTATGTCGTCGAAGTACACCGTCGGGTCACACAAAACTGTCTCTGCCAGATTTCTTCACTATTTTTCTCATACTAGTGTACATTTCCTTTCTGCTCTCAGTGCGACGACAACAGTACGGACATATGCATCAACCATGGATTTAACCGAAGATGCCAAAATGAACAGTCCCGAAGTGGAAGAAGTTGCGAGGCGACTGAGAGAAATCGGCGATGAAATGGACGCCAAATATCAGCACAATGACATACAGCTGGGATTGCATGACTTTGTGGAACAATATATGCAACGTGGAGTGCAGTATTTCTGCAGAACTTGTGGAGTGATTCTCATATGCCATTTATTTGTTGTTGCTACAGCGAATCGAAGATGATGGCGGCGACCGCATTTCACTGCGTTGAGCTATCGACCTTGAGGTAAGCAGTTCACTGATTATTCAGCTTCGTCACGTCGGTCAGGGGCACATAACGTTGCTCGGGTCAAGTGTAGCTTCTATCTTCAGTGCTAGATTTTTTCAGCGACCTTCAAAACGATATGCATGCTCTAAATCTTTGCATATTTCCAGAATGCGACCTAGTATTTATCGGTGACATGAAAGCGAACGCACGAAATTGCCAGTTCGGCGTAATTTTTCGGCCTGGTGCTCAGCGCTTAAAACAGATGTTTTCTTGCCGTGGGCATTTGTCGGCAGGTACACAACAACAACACGAGGGATAGCGGCGGGTAAAAGGGAATACATAAATATAGTCAATAAAAGATTTGATCTGTTCGACGGCGGCGTCTTGTTATATATCAATGGTAATCGGGGATTGACAAGTATAGTTACGGCAAGACAGACTTTCTGAGAAATCAAAATGATAATGATTTCATAAACTAAAAAATCCCGCCAT